ACTCTTAAAGAGGCCAACAGTGACGACAGTAACAGGATTCCGATGACCCGCTCGGATTAGTAACATGATCTGCGGGCCCCAGAGGGAGGGGGCTCCCGCATGAGACTTCCTCGCAATTCACTCACCAGCGAAGCTCCCGCCTGAGATGAGTGAGTGAGTGAATGAGTGAGTGAGTGAAGGTGATGATGATGATAATTCTCCAAATAGGCCTGCCATAATAGATTCCTAGCTCAAATCCTACTACTTGGTCCGTTGCCTCCCCCTAATTCCTATGCCCCCCTAATTCCTGTGCCTATGCCTATGCCTATGCCTATGCCTATGCCTATGCCTATGCCTATGCCTATGCCTATGCCTATGCCTATGCCTATGCCTATGCCTATGCCTATGCCTATGCCTATGCCTATGCCTATGCCTATGCCTATGCCTATGCCTATGCCTATGCCTATGCCTATGCCTATGCCTATGCCTATGCCTATGCCTATGCCTATGCCTATGCCTATGCCTATGCCTATGCCTATGCCTATGCCCTATGCCTATGCCTATGCCTATGCCTATGCCTATGCCTATGCCTATGCCTATCCTATGCCTATGCCTATGCCTATGCCTATGCCTATGCCTATGCCTATGCCTGTGCCTGTGCCTATGCCTATGCCTATGCCTATGCCTATGCCTATGCCTATGCCTATGCCTATGCCTATGCCTATGCCTATGCCTACAGTCGGCCTTGATTGGACAGGACACGCGAGAGGACACAAGACCCTTTCAAGGGCCACATTGCCATGGGGGATGTAGAAGGCATGGGTTGCGAGGCACAGGACATAAGGGTACCTAAGGGTACCCTTGATTTGGCAGGGTCGACCTACTAATCAGGGCCGACTGTATGCCTATGCCTCCCCCTAACTCCTATGCCTATGTCTATGCCTATGCCTTCTTGCTTGTCTGCTTGCTTGCTTGCTTGCTTGCTTGCTTGCGCCCTTGCGCGCTTGCACGCTTGCTTGCTTGCTTGCGCGCTTGCTTGCACGCTTGCCTGCTTGCTGAGTTGCGGATTCCAAGCATGCTTGATTCCTCTGATTCCTTGATTCGAATCGTCTAATCCATTTGGAGTCAACGCTGGCTGATATGATGATGACGATGGTGATGATAATAATGATCATATTAATAAGAAGAAGAATAGTAAGAATGATGATGACTGTGAGTGAGTGAGTTCGCGCGTAGGTGGGTGAGTTGGTGAGTGCGTGAGTGAATGATGATGATGATGATGAGTGTGTGTGTGTATGTGTGCGTGTGAGTGTGTGTGGGTGAGTGAGTTTGTGTGTGAGTGTGTGAGTAGGTGTTCTCTTGTTCCTGCGCGGGGTGTCTAGAGAAAACAAGAACCCCACTTTGGATGTGGGGAAAAACTGCCTGGGGATGCGAACACCCATCACGATTGCAGATGGAGAAGCTGTCAAGCTCCCCTTCAGGAGCCCCCTTGCTCCCATCGAGCAAACAGTTCGGGGCAAGGATCAGGCCCCCGAGCCCGATGATCTGACCTCCAGCGGCGAGGCTTCCAGAGCCCCCGCTCCTCGGAGCTCCGCTTGCTCGAGCGCCAGCGCCCCAGGCGCGGCGCCCCTTCGCAGCCTCCCCCCGGCCACCAGGGCCGGGAGGGCGGCACCGAGCACCACGGGCAGCCCCATGGCCCTCCCTATCGTCTGCATTGAACAGAAGAAGAAAAAGCGCCATAGACAGAAACGTTTGGCGCTCCGCACGGATTTCTTGCATCTGCGCTGGACCCCCCTCCCTGGCGCGCGGAGCGCGCCAGGGGCGGCGCCCGAGGCGCCGCCAGGAGGCCCAGCGCAGATCCAAGAAAACCGCGCGGAGCGCCAAAAGTTTTTTATGTTTGTGGCGCTTGCCCTTCTGCGATCGAACAGGCAGGACTGATGCCGACCCTCGCAGGCCTGCACCCGCACTGGGGGAGAAGGAGGCGGAGCGTGCCGAAATCATCCTTGCGCAGGGGCCATGCTAATCTTCTCTGTGTCGTTCCAATTTTAACGGATGAACCCCGAAGGGAAGGAGGAGGAGGGGGGAAGGAGGAGGAGAGGGAAGGAGGAGAGGCAGAAGCGGCAGGGGAGGGACGAGGGCAGAGGAGGGCGAGGAGCAGGCGGGCGAGGAGCAGAGGGCACAGGGCGTGGCCCGGCGCCTCGCGTCGATGCGCTCGGGAAGGCGAATCCCCTCCTCCGCCTCCTCCTCCATCTCCTCCTCCCTTCTCCTCCTCCTCCCTTCTCCTCCTCCTCCTCCTTTCTCCTCCTCCTCCTCCTCCTCCGCCTCCTCCTCCTCCTCCTCCTTCTCCTCCTCCCCCCCCGTCCTCAACGTCAACGCATTCCTGCCCGCCGCAGACGCTCAGCTCGACGCAGGCGGTGCAGTGGAGGCCGACGCAGGTGGCGTGCTGTGCAGAGTTGGAGCTGAACGCGGCAACACACGGATCGGACTAACACGCGTGCTGACAGTCATCGATTCTAGGACTCTGGTCTGGAGCTTGTCTCGCCAGGGCTTTCGTGCGCCCTGCCCTCTATCTGCCCAGAATCGGTCGATCGACCGTGAGCCGATCAAGCACCCACCTGGAAAAAAAAAATGCAAAAACGTGGAACAGAGGGTCCCACTGGCCACCCGGACTCCTCCTCCTCACCCTCCTCGGCAACCCTCTCCTCCTCCTCCTCCTCCTCCTCCTCCTCCTCCTCGTCGTCGTCGTCGTCGTCGTCATCATCATCATCATCATCATCATCACCACCACCACCACCACCACCATCATCATCATCATCATCATCATCATCATCATCATCATCATCACCATCATCATCATCATCATCATCATCAGCAGCATCATCAGCATCGTCGTCATCATCGTCATCATCATCATCAGCATCATCATCAGCATCATCATCATCATCATGATCATCATCATCATCATCATCATCATCATCATCATCAGCATCATCATCAGCATCATCATCAGCATCAGCATCAGCATCAGCATCAGCAACAGCATCAGCATCATCATCATCATCATCATCATCATAATCATCATCGGCATCAACATCATCATCATCATCATCATCATCATCATCATCATCCTCATTATCATCCTCATCATCATCCTCATCCTCAGCATCCTCATCATCATCACCACCACCACCATCATCATCATCATCAGCATCATCATCATCAGCAGCATCATCATCATCGTCATCGTGATCGTCATCATCAGCATCATCATCACCATCAACATCATCATCAGCATCGACATCATCATCATCATCATCATCAGCAGCATCAGCATCAGCATCATCATCATCATCAGCATCATCATCACCATCATCCTAATCATCCACGTCATGATCATCAACATCATCATCAGCAGAATCGTCATCATCAGTATCATCACCATCATCACCATCAGCAGCATCGTCATCCTCATCATTACCGTCATCAGCATCATCATCCTCTTCATCAGCCTCATCCTCATCCTCATCCTCATCACATCACACCATCAGAATCAGCATCAGCAGCATCGTCATCGTCATCGGCGTCGTCATCATCAGCATAATCAGCATCAGCATCATCATCATCATCATCATCATCATCATCATCATCATCGTCATCACCAACATCAGCATCAGCACCATCATCTACATCATCACCAGCATCATCAGCATCATCAACATCAGCATAATCGTCAACATCGTCATCCGCATCGGCAGCATCATCTTTATCTCCATCATCATCAGCATCATCAGCATCAGCATCACCTTTCAATCATAGCCATCAGTATAAACATCAGCATAGTCATCCGCAACATCACCATCATCATCACCATCATCAGCAGCAGCAACATCAGCATCATCATCAGCATCATCTTCATCAGCAGCATCAGCATCATGATAACCATCATCGTCATCAGCAGCAGTAGCAGCATGCTTTCTCCTCCTGGTCATCCTCCTCCTTTTTGACGTTGCTCGGACCCGAAGCGCGACCTCCTCCTCCTCACCCTCCTCCTCCTTCTCCTCCTCCTCCTCATCATCATCATCAGCATCATCATCATCATCATCAGCAGCAGCATCAACATCAACATCAGCATCATAATCATCATCATCATCATCATCATCATCATCATCATCATCATCATCATCATCATCATCATCATCATCATCATCATCATCATCATCATCATGTGTCTCCTCCTCTTCCTCAGTACATCCGCGATCCTCCTATGTTCTCGTTATCATGCTCCGCCTTCATCCTTTCTATCCGCCTCCTCTTCGTGACCATTATAAGCTGCATACCGTCTCGTACTCCGCCTTCTCCACATCGTGTTGCTTCCAGCCTTCTCTTCCTCCTCTCTCCTCCTCCTCCTCCTCCTCCTTCTCCTCCTCCTCCTCCTGCACAAACTCATCCCCTCCTCATCCTCCCTCCTCCTCCTCCTCCTCCCTCTCCTCCTCCTCCCTCCTCCTCCTCCTCCTCCTCCTCCCCTCCTCCTCCTCCTCCTCCTCCTCCTCCTCCTCCTCCTCCTCCTCCTCCTCCTGCACAAACTCATCCTGCATGAACTCATCCCTCATCCCTCCTCCTTCCCACCCTCTGGTCTCCCCCCTCATCCTCTCGCTCCTTTCTCCTTCCCACCCTCCCACTCCTTCCTCTCCTCCCCCTCCTCCTCCCATTTTATCAATCTTCTCCCACTCCTCCCGCTCCTCCCTTCCTCGTGTCCCATCCCCCTCACTCATCTTGTGTTTGTTCTTTTCGTCTTGATCCTCCCCCTGCCCCTTGGAGAGAACCATACGCTAAGATCCCATCGGGGACAGGCCGTGCGGGTCGAGACGGGTCCATCGATCCTCCGTGTCACACTACGTTGAAGACAGGTCACGGCGCCAGTGGCAAGAATGCGCACCTGAGCCGAGACAGCAGAATTACATTGTCACCCCCCCCCGAAGTCATCCTGGACCACCTCTTCCGCATCCACCTCGTCCTCTCACTTCGCCGCCTGCAGCTTTGTCCCCAGAGCTTACCGTCTCAGGGCTGTGGGCGTCCTGCCCGTCCCTCCTCCCTCCACCCTCCATCCCTTCTCAGCACTGCCAGGCGTGGACCTGGTGCCTCCCGTGGCCTGCATCCAGCGAAGCCCCGTCGAAAGCGCGCACCATGCACGAGCACTTGATGACCACCACCACGAATGTCGTCATCAGAGTGATCAGAGTGAGGGGTGTCCGAACGGTCTAACTCGAGGCACGCTGGGCGGGCAAGCTAATCGGGCGCGCTGTGTGGGGCTGGTCGCGGTCCTCCTGGGGCCCCATCGAGTCTTGTCGCGCTCATTTTTCGGACCGCTGGGCCCCAGGAGGCCCCAAAGACGGTCCGAGAGGACTCCGAGACGCCCACCACAGATCGCTCCCAGACGCCCAAAATGGCGTCCAAACGGCCCACGAGGCCTCCAAGACGCCCCAAGAGGCCTCCATGAGTATTCCCAACCTTGCTCCAGGAAGCAAAATCCTTCGATTTTCATTTCTGGTTTTTGAAGCATGGCGTTCCTGCCTTTTCGGCTTTCCGACGCTCCATGACGATCCAAGAGGCTTCCAAGAGCACCCCAAGACGGCCCAAGAGGCCTCCAAGAAGGCCCCAAGACGGCCCCAAGACGGCCCAAGAAGGCCCCAAGACGGCCCTTTGGAGCCCTCCCAGAGGGCCCCAGAGGGCCCCAAGACGGTTCCAAGAGGGGGCCCAGACGGGGGACCCGAACAGACCTTTCGAGCCCTCGGCCCAAAGAGGCTCCCAGGAGGCCCAGAGAAGCTCCCAGGAGTCTCCCCCGGCTTCCCTCTGGAGCTGCTCTGACTCCCGCACCGCGCCCAAACAGAGGTCGCCCAGACCGGGGGCTGAAAAACGCGCGCGCCGCATGGTGGGACTGCCTCGCGGTCCGCAGAGAAGGCCTGGAGAAACGGAACTGAGGCCGCCAGGGACGCACGGCTCCGACGCCTCGGCGCCCCCTGCGCGACCCCCCCGCGCGCGTGCCGCGGCGGCCCGCGCGGCCGCGGCCGCCACGGCGACCTCGGACGTGGGCTGCCCCGTGCGCTCTGCGCGTCGTGCCCTGGGGGCGCTCCTGCGGAGTGCGGGCTCGAGACGCATGCTTGATCCCAGCGGTTGCGCGCGCTGGTGCCTCCCGACCGCGCTGCCGCGCGCACCTGGGCGGTGCGCGAGGGCGTGGCAACGCACGACGCTCGAGCACGCGCTGGCCAGTCTCCCGCAGGCGGCAACGTCCGTTGAACGGGTGTCGGATCCCCGGCCTTTGTGGCTCCCATACCACGTCCGTCGCATCAAAAACGTTCCCCTGTCCCCTATGATTTCGTATGGGCCCCGAGCCCTTCGAAAGCCACCAACGTCTCTTCTCGGGAGCGGCCAAGAGGGGGGTGTCCAAGAGGGGGGGGGCGCAAATCATGACCGGCGGCATGTGCGCGGCCCAGCGGGGGGGCCAGGGACGTGATGAAACAAGAAGAGGCGCCACGAGATCTGGGCAAAGATCATGGCCCCCGCCGTGAGATCCACCCCCCCCTAATCATCACCCCCCTCTTTTCCGCCCCCGAAACACGTTCCCCTGTCCCCTATGATTTCGTTTGGGCCCCGAGGCCCTTCAGAAGCTACCAACGTCTCTTCGACAGGCCGTTTTCAGGTGGCTCCCGGGACGCTGTCCGTGCAGACGCCGTCCGTTGAAAGAGTGTCGGATCCCCAGTCTTTGTGGCTCCCATGCCACGTCCGTCGCATCAAACACGTTCCCCTGTCCCCTATGATTTCGTGTGGGCCCCGAGGTCTCCAGAAGCCACCAGCGTCTCTCCGACGGGCGTTTTCCAGGTGGCTGCCCGGGGCGCCGTCCGTGCAGACGCTCGCCACCTGGTGGCCCTCGACGGCCCGCTGCCAGCTGCTGCGGCCCCACAGCGGCCCCTGCTGCCCCGTGCACCCGTGCCAGGTACGTCGAGAAAGAGGCCCCAGAGAAAACGAGAGAGAGGCAGAGACAGAGACAGAGGAAGAGAAAGGCGAGAGAGAGAGAGAGAGAAAGACGACAACACCTCGAGAAAGGGACCCCCAGAGAAAACGAGAAAACGAGAGAGAGAGAGAGAGAGACAGAGACAGGGGGAGAGAGGAGGTGATTATGAGGGACCCACGGAAGGCACGGGTGCGAACGAGGAGGACGAGCGCCTGCAACAAGCCCACAGACATCCAGGAACGGATGGGCCACGCCATTCACTCTTGTCCGCAACTGCGGGGTGCTGCGTAAACGTAATCCTTATGGTCGTCGCTGCCATCGCCGTCGCCATCATTCGACGGAACTGGCTTGTCACACACAAAGGCTGGCTCCCTGCACGGAACCAAATTCTTGAGCAAGTCAGCGCTTGCGCATGTAAAACGAAGTATGCCGAAGCATGATCGTCATTGTCATCATGATCGTCGTCGCCGTCCTCATCGCCTTTGCCATCACCACCATAAAAATCATAGTCGCTGTTGCATAATAGTTTCATGTTCCGTCTACTTTGCTTCCGTCGTCGCAGACGGCATAATCATGATTGTTAGCGTCGTCATCTCCGCCGTCGACCACATCCTCGTCATCGTCCCCATCGTCGTTCTAATCAATATCCGTCGTCGCTTCACTCATACTCGCAACATTCTCGATCGTCGTCGTCGTTGTCGCCACCAATGTCGTCATCACCACCGTCATTGTCGCAGCCATCGTCATCCTGGAGTGGAACTTGTCAGCCAACTCGCCGAAGCCAATCTCTCAGCTCAAGAGGTGCCGCCCACCGAGTCTCCCGCTTCCAGACCTTGCCCCCAGCTTCCCACAGACGCAGAAATTGCCACGGTGCACGCGGCGCGACCACCTGGCCATCCACATGTCGAAGAAGGTACATCACCCGCGCGGGGCGGAGGAAGAATTGCTGAGCCACTCGCGCTGACGCATCCGCAACGACAGCAAAAACATTTGAAAAAACTCCGTCGCCACGGCCCGAGATATTTCACGTACCGCCGCGATGTCCAATCCACCACCGTTCTTCCCCCCCACCTTATCCCCCTGCCCACCCACCCTGGCCTCCAGCGCCCCGACAATCGCAACTGGCTGCTGCTCCGAACTTCGGCCGCTGGGCGCCCGCGCCTTGAGTGCCCTGGACCCCGCACATCGATCGGGAACAATATCGACAACATGTCGCGTAAAATGAAATCAACGTCACCTTTCTGACCTGGCGGCGCAGATCCCAGTGCCTGTCGATGCCGTGCGGACGACACGCTGGAGCGTGCCACGACAAGTACGTTAGTTGTCCGATAGGGCTTCTACAACTTTCCGAGCGCACCACCTCCTCCTGTTGCGCACCACTGAATCTTCGATGGCAACTCATGGGAGCCTCCCGTACCATCTTGTCGGCTCTTGCGAATCGACGCTAGTCGACGCTAGTTCGACGCTACATCGATGCTAATCGACGCTAACCGACGCTAAATCGGCGCGATCTCATCGACTCCCAGACGCTAATCGACGCCTATCGACGCCAAAGACGGAATTGAGAGGGTACACCAGGCTCCCAGGACTTGCCACCGAACGAACATGTGCCCCCGCGTTCTGCTCTCCGGCGCCCTCCAATGGCACCAATACACGACGGAACGACGGCCCAAGGCCGCCCCCCAGGAGATGCTCGCTGATCAGGCTCGGACGGCCCAGAGATCCTCCAAAGTACCCTCCGAGGCAAAGAGGGCGCCCCAGAGGCCCTCAAGGAGGCCCCCAAAGAGGCCCTCCGCGGCCCCAGAGATGGGGGCGCCCAGAAGGCTCTGAAGAACGCCTCTGGACGGGCGCGAGATTGAAAACAGGGCTCGCCTCGAGAGGCCTGTTTGTGAACCCAGGACGCACCCGAGGTCTCGCAAGCGTCGGTTGCCTTCCAAGCGTTTCGGCCCAAGACAACCTACAAAAAGCTACAAAAAGTATCAGATAGTGGCCCCGAAGGGACCCACGAAACCCCCAAGCCAGTCCAAGATGGCCCCAAGAGTCCCAAGACGGCCCCGAGAGACCGCCACAAGACGGCCCAAGGCAGTCCCAAGAGGGCCCCAAGATGACACCAGGACCCGACCAGACTCTGGCAGGGCGAGCATCCGCAGAGAATCGATCGAGGACCGAAATTCGGGTTGGGCAAGTGGGGGGGAGCGAAGAGTGGGTCAGCACCTCATCTCGCCGTACTGAGCCTCTTTGGGAGTGCTCAGTAGAAGCGTCGCGCCTAAGACGGCCCCAAGACCCCCGGGAGGCCCTCCGAAGCCCCACCAGGCCACCCCACCCAGGGGCCCCAAGAGGTCCCAGAGGCCTTCGCAAGAAGCCTCGAGAAGCTCCAGAGGCAGCGCAACAGCCTCGTGACGTTTGCCTCTGGGGGCTGGCTGCATTTCCGCGGGTTCGCCACGACCCTGGGAAGTCGCAGGCAAGCCGTGCCCCGAGCCGACATCCGTGCCTTCGAGCTGGTTTCGCGAAACTGTTCGGGACCGATGCAGCTCGCCACGGGCACAACGCCGCGCTCTACACAGGGCGGCAGGCCAGACGGCACCTCAGGAGTGCACAAGCCTCAGCTCCGACGTGTGGCTCCGCGTCCATGCCGCGTTGGCCGGGAGAGGAGGGGGAGAGGTCCAGGCGGCTTGTCAGAGGAGAAAATACCTATACCTCTACCCTTCGCCCGTTTCCCCCTGTTTCGGCCTCCTGGGAGGTCCTCGTTGCCACCGCTGGATTCGCCTCGAGATCCTGGTCAGAACGCAGCCCGGGAGAGATCTGGGGGGCAGCGGTATCGGCACCCGTTGGTTTCCCCAGCTTGGTACCCGCCGCAAGTTGTGGATCCCCAGGGCCTCTCCCCCTCTCCTCAGGAGCGCCTGCGTGCGAAGGGGAACGGCTTCGCCGAGGTGTGTTGGCGGGGGAGGCCGCCCGATTTTCCTGGGCTCGCTCGGCGTAAGGCGGCCAAGGCCATGGTGGGCTCCGTGAGTG